CTGCTAGATACTGATCTTCTCTTGCATTAGTTACCCTAGGACGCCCAGTTCCACGTCTCCAGTTAACGCTGTTAGTTTCCTGGTACAAATGCACTATTCGTATAAGTGAAGCACGGGGAATTCTTAGTCTAACCGCGATTTGATGATTCGGCAGACCCACCATGCAGAGCCAGTATTCTTGCTCTATTGAACACTGAAATTCTATTGCCAGGCATAATTGCAAAGAAGAACTCAACAATCACTTAAATCGATATGAACCACTTTTAAAACATTGGCATCTAAAATTAGAGGAAGTTGTTTTTGTAAACATTTTTGCATGCCTAGCATAGGTGAAAGAAAGATGAAATCTACAAAAAACCAGACATGATAAATATTTTGTTTTACAATTTACGAGGGGGGTCCAAGAATTTTGGCGATGTGTGTACTATTCAAAATGATAGAAATTGAAGAATTGAATAAAGACACCATCAATTAAAGTGTTATAGATAAAATGAAGAACATTTTCGCCAGACACGTGTTCCAAAAATCATCGTTTCTCATTCTATAGATAAGCTGAAAGGAATGTTCAGTTGAACTAATTTTCAATGAAATCCTCTACAATCTTTCGCAGGAAATTCCATTACTTTAAGAAAAACGTTCAAAACCCCTATCATCATCTTTTGAAGGATATTAACATTTCAATGAAGTATTAATCTGACATTAAATGTATAAGTTCTTTTTTTTAATCATTGTAATAAATAAATGATACATTACTTTAAAATACAATAATTGGTATATTTAATTGTATGGCATATATTTTTTCCTTATACAAGTAATAACTTTAGATATCCAATTATTTCAACACATACCTTGTAAAGGATCATTTTGAGCAGTACTAGCAAAGTTCAATTTTGCACTTGTTGTCTGGAAAGTGGGAGCATCATCAACTTCTATGAAATGATCATCGGGAAAAGTACTTTCATCTCTTGGCATTTCAAAAAATGATAGCAATGCCTACAACATTGAAAACATGACATCTCAATGAGTTAGTTCGATTATTTCAATAATACCTGTAAAAGCTGAGGCCAATACTTTTGATAGTTTCCTACATACATTTCTTTGCATTCACATAACAGTTTGGTGATTCCGCATGCTACAATTTTCCTCTCGATGTTTCCTGAAATCTTTTGTAACTCTGCTATGAATAGTTTTTCTAAAACCATGCCGAACATTCTGAAATTGAATTTTGATAGAAAAACTAAATACAATTTTCAAAAATACTCACTGTTTTTGTATACCATCAATAGTCGTGACTAGTTCGTTTGCAGAGTACTTGACAATGTAGAAACAAAAATAAACTATTAGACTTTTAACAAATTTTGTAGTTTTGCTGGAGGATGAAAGTCTCTGGAACAGCAGGAAAAATATCTGATTGTGATATGGTGCTAAGACTTCTCTGAAAAAGTAATTTGTTGAGATAAGGGAATACTTAAAGAATCCTGGTAAAACTCACGTTGGGAAATGTTGAATCAAGCTCTGCATGAGAAGAAATCCTTCATGATCATTTGTTTTTGAAGCTATTAGTTTTTGAAAAACTCCTAAATATCCTGCCTAAAATAATAAAAATTCATGTTCCACAAATACTTTGATATTTTTACAATATTTTTAAAAATGTATGCTTTCAATTCTTATAAAAAAAATAAAAAAATTAAACAGATATTTTTATTAACTTCCAATTATGTACTTGTATATTACACTACTTTCTTTTGAAGACTACTAAGTAATTTGAGAAACAGTAATTTTTTACAATTTGTAGACGAAAATTTCTGGACCAACTTTCGATGGAAAAAATATTTCCGAATACATTTGCATTCTGTATTTTGTATATTCACATAAAAATCTGTTCATATAGGATATTTTGTGAAGGACATCGCAAGAATCCTTATGGATTCTTGGCTAAATTGGTAGAGACTTTGATATTACAGATAACAATGCATTAATCAAATGTCTCAATGGTACGAGGTTGAAAAATTGCCAGTTTTGGAGATAATCGAGGTCAAAGGTTGTCAAGTATTCATTTTGAATTGCAAATTGGCACTCGATGGAATTGGAATAATGAAGATTTGGGTGTATGCATTCATACATTAGTAGTTGAAAAGGTGATTTTGGTAATCTGTGACCTTGAAAACTGATCTGAAAAAAACCTTTCAAATTATATGGTTTTTCAATGTTTCACAATTCGAACTTTGCCATCAAGTCTGACGAATTTTTAGAATTACATGAGTACTATTATAATAAAAAATGATCAAAGTGAAAAAATTGTAGATGTTTTTTATTATTAGAAGTGCAAATTTGTATGTTAATATTTTATTGAAATATTCATTTATTTATTGTAGATACTATACAGGTCGTGACCCAATTATACAATTACAAAGTAAGAACTATATAACAAGTAGGTTCATATACACAGTCTGACATTAAATAAAAATAATACCATGATAATAAAAACTAAACAAATCTGATACAATCTGCTTCTAAAGGTTTGTATAGTAGTTTATATTGAAACTGGAAATTCAATATAAACTACTGAGATGATCTTGTTCTATGCGCAGGTACATTGAATATTATTGTGCAGAATTTTGTGAAGTTTGGGAATGCAGATTGTATCTACAACTACTTTACTATTATTTACTCTTTATAGCGAAAATACACCTAAGAAATTTGTTTTGAATTCTTTCAATCCTATAGTTGTGACACTGATACTAGGATAACAGATAAAGGATGCATATTCCAAAATAGGTCTAACAAATGTTATGTACAGCAGTACAGCAGATGAAAGCTACATTATCAACTGCCCGGAGTTTCTGAAGAATTCATACATCTTTATATTTTGTTTGTTGTTTAATATTTGAGACTTGAATGATAATGAGACTCCGTGTTTAACCTCATCCTGTACGTGGATTTATCTCTCCTTTTTAATATGAAGCCCTTACGAAGTTTCTGTTAAGTTTGATATACTAGAAACAAACATATTATTCATAGTTTCAAAGATACATCAATTTTGGTAAATTTTTCAAATAAGATGTTATATTTCTCAGGAATTTCGTATGAGATTCAAATCATTATACCATTGTATTTTTCTTAAACACTGATACAAATCGCAAGACTTTTATTTATAAAACTTTTATGAAAACATTGATGGTCCATTGAACGTTTCTGAGATAGAGTATAAACATATTTCCACTATCTCTGAGAATAAAGAAGATGCAGTCTAATATAAAATTTCGAATGTCCCGGTTATTCCCTTATATTTCTGGAACTAAAAAACCAATAGCCATTTTTTGGCATCAATCAATAGTACTCTAAAATTAGTAATTTTGCATCTATTGAAAACAATTTTCTCTTCCAGAATGAAAATGCTGTTACTCGACATATGTTTCGCCAACCAAGTTAGCATTAGGAGATTATTAAAACTATTCCTTATATGCTATATTAATATTTCTATATGCATCTACACAAATCATTACCTTGCTTAATGAGGGTCAATTGATTGATTCCCAGTATTTTGTTATTGTCCTATTGTTATTTACTACCAGACTGATACCTAATCTTTATCTAAGATGACTAAAACTACTCTTCACAAGCTATGTTGAGATTTTTTTAAGCGATTCACATTGGAATTGAATCGCTGGAGATTAAGTCCATTCGGAAAAACGTTCTCAGGAAGTTTATTCCACATAAACGCTGTTCTCCAAATGTAAGAGTTCTTAAACAGTGAAGCTCGAGGTGTACTGAGTTGAACCTCAAAACGATGAGCAGCCACAGTCCGTCGCGTATTTCTGATATGTACCGCTCTTGGTGGAATCAAATGTGCCAAGAGAGACAAATCCCCAACCTTTCTTTGATGTTCCAGACTATGAAGATTGCAAGTGATGTTCGTGTATCCAATCAGGCGGATCGCCCTTTTCTGGGTATGCTTAGGGGCGGAGCTCAATACATGAGAACAATACTTCAACTAAGGTCTGATCTGAGCTTCATAAAGCATCAAAAGTTGCTGAGGTTTGTATAGTTTTCTGGTTCGAAACAGTGTTCTAAGTTTTTGAGAGCAGCCTTAGCAATTCTAGCGACATGATTGTGCCAACAAACAACAAAACCCTCAACAAACTTATCGAAGTAGAAAGCATTTTCACGAATCATTACCTTGAATAATGAGGGTCAATTAATCAATTCCTAGTATTTTGTTATTGCCCTATCGATTCTATCCTACTGCCCTATTAATTTTTTTCCCTTTTTTCCCTCTACTTATAATTTTGTATCAATGTGAACAATAAGCTATGAGCTAACTTATCAAGTTAGTGATTTTGCCACAATTTTACGAACTCTTCATCTCTTACCGTTTACGAGATACCCATGCACAGACACGAATTTGAATAGGTCTGTTCAAAAAATAGGGTAAATGTTCAAATTTCGCGGATTACATACATTCGATTAACGATTTTTTTATGTTGGTACACATCTCGAACGTTTGTTCACAGTTTCAATTGTTCAGGATGTTTAGTTTGTTGGCGAGGAGCATAAAAGTTCTATTGCAAAAGAGCATAAAGAGTCAAATAAAAACCAAACGACCATACAAACAGTTTCACAAATTCAACAACATCCAACTCAACAAATATTGACTCAATATTCACCGACATCTTTCACAACTAACGTTATACCTTACATTCCAGGACTATCTGAAAAAATAAGACGAATTGGAAATAGGTATGATGTTAGAAACACTAAGGTCTATAGAAAAACACTGAAGAAAAAAACAAAAAATTGCATTTATGAAATACCTTGTTCTTTTGATGAAAAGTCATATTGCGTGAGAATGAACATCGAGATTATATAAAAAATAGACAATTGACAGAATCTAAATTGTCAGAACACATTTTAAAATCAGACGGTGAACATCGAGATGAATGGAACAAGACAAGAATGATTACCAATGAGCCTCACTCTAAGAGACGTAAGCTAAAAGAATCAGCGTATATTTTCAAATTGTATTTCGAACAGCTCCTTAGAAATAGACCTTACTTGGCTACCCATCTTGAAGGAAAATTTGGATAGTGGCGAAATGGCAACAGATTGATATCAGAGAGAACATTGAATGTTTCAGTTGTCAATCAACAACATTGACATCATTTCACATTTCAAAACTCCATTGACATCTGTCGAAGAAGTTGAGAAATATATAATCAAAAGGAATAACTGCAAATATCTTATTAAAAAGTGATTTTCCTCCAAAAAAAAAAATACTTTCGTTGAATAAGAAAAAAAAGTTCACTAACCAGTTTATCTTGTGCGATAATCTGTGGCGCAGCCTGTGTAGCAAAAGCGCTTAATAATCTCACCAAAGGATTGATATTAGCAGGCCTCTCCCAAAGAATAGGTGCTAACAGACATGGCAATAGTTGCATATATGGTTCAGGTATTGAACCAGTAGGCGTATTCTCCATCAGTAGGGAAAGAATTTGGAAAACGTAAGGGATGAATTCTAAAAAAGAAATGTTATCATACAAATTTGAATGCATTCATTTTTGAATAGAAAAACCTTGAATATCTTGCTGCAGAATTCCCTGGAAGATGGGGAAAAGGATATCTTCAAAGGATGTTACAGCTGATTGGTTTGCTTTGCAAACGATCCTGAAGTTATTCAACAATTGTAATTAAAAAAAAAACAGTAACAATAAACATTACATACCTGATTGCAAGTGAGAAGGTTTCGAATAGATAATGGTTGAAATGGGGTTTTGAAGGATTTTTAGCCACCATTTGTAATTTTTCTGTCAGTTTTGGAAGAGACATATTTAAAAATGGTATAACTCTTTCTTGCAGGGTTGCAAACGTTCGCATTATAGCTAGAATAATCATAACAACAATATGTGAAAAACAACAACATTTAGTGGTACTGAGAAATTCTCAAACAAATATTTCAACAATTTACCTTTCATTACATACTCATTTTGTTCTGAAACTGGCCTTTCCAATATGGCAAACAAGTTTGAAAACAAATCGTTCGAGATAGTTTCTAGCTGCATTCCAGATACGCTGTAATGTATTTATATTAAGTAGAAACATACTAAAAACATACAAAAAACTAACAACTAGAATACAATGAGCTGTATCATTAGAAATGATGAATACTCCATCCAATTCTTATTTTACATGTCTTATTTATTTGAGGAACCTCTACTCGAAGCTGTTTCCTATCTTAATCAAAAACTCTCTGAAATCAAAGACATTTATTGAAAATCACTTCACCTGCATTCTATATCAAAACATGTCCTCTGAGGTTTTTGATATCATCTTTTTTTTTTCAAGGACAAAACACAAACACTACAGGAAAATCCTTAAGGCGCTCTTAAAGCGGTGCCTGTGCGAAATTAGTGATTCAATTCATTTGGAAAAACTTTCTCAGGAAGTTAATTCCACATAAACACAGTCCTCCAAATAATACAGTTCTGTAACAGTGAAGTTTGAGGTGTACTGAGTTGAACCTCAAAACGATGAGCAGCCACAGGCCATCACGTATTTCTGATTTATATCGCTCTTGGTGGAATCAAATGAACCAAGTCACTTGAACACTTCCTGTGAAAGTACCTATAGAAGAGACAAATCTCCAACCGATATATGACTATTGATATGGTGATTGAAACATGTGTTGAGGTGTTAAAATAACGATTTGGTGTTGTTAAAAATTTGGAAACTCACGTTGGAACGCAATCACATTACTGCGCAGAATCCTGACTGTCAGAAACTGTTTCTGACGCTGGTTGGAACGAACCTCATATCAAAACATGTCCTCTGAGGTTTTTGATATTCTCTTTTTTTTTCAAGGACAAAACACAAGCACTACAGGAAGATCCTTAAGGCGCTCTTAAAGCGATGCCTGTGCGAAATTAGTGATTCATATTGGATTTGAATTGCTGGAGATTAAATTCATTTGGAAAAACTTTCTCAGGAAGTTAATTCCACATAAACGCCGTCCTCCAAATAATAGAGTTCTGTAACAGTGAAGTTTGAGGTGTACTGAGTTGAACCTCAAAACGATGAGCAGCCACAGTCCATCACGTATTTCTGATATATATCGCACTTGGTGGAATCAAATGAACCAAGTCACTTGAACACTTCCTGTGAAAGTATCTGTAGAAGAGACAAATCTCCAACCGATATATGACTATTGATATGGTGATTGAAACATGTGTTGAGGTGTTAAAATAACGATTTGGTGTTGTTAAAAAACTCCAGTAATATTCATTACTACACCAAAGGTTCCATCATGACTGGTCGTAATTTAGAGTTATATGTGTGGATGTAAAAATAATATCGATTTTCATGGCCTTTCTAAGCTTTCGTTTGTGGTATTACATTTATCCACAAAATGTAACAATATTCATTAGAAAAGTAATGTAATACCGTGGTTTATTAAAGTTTTTTATTGTTTGGTCAGTCAGGTTAAAACCCTCATGAACTCATTTTCGATGTAGAAATTTAAAGAGTTGATCGACAAAACCTAAGAATAGATATAATTATAAAAAATCAAACAAATAATTGAAGGTACTTGAAAAAGTAGATGTATGATACCATTAAGAATTTTTTTTATTAGGAAATGATATACCTATACCTAAAATGTAAACAAACTTACATTGGTTGATTATTGTTATTCTTCATGATAAGAATTTTTTCCAAAGCACATGCTGCATAGGTATGTACAACAGCACTCTCACTAGTCATGTGTCTTATTAATTGAGGTAAAGTACTGACCACAATTTCATTGGGTAAAATTGTTCTGAATGTCATGACATATTTTATTGCGTCTGCTTTGAGAACTGGTAGTTCGTTTACTGAAACATAAAGATTATGCATGAGTGTTAAAAATTTTGTACCATTATAGATTTTTCAACAAAAAAAAGCCTTACAAATATTCATAAGTTCCCAACATTATCCAATCAATAAAAGTATAATTTATATTCTTAATTATCGATAACATCTCTTATGGTTAATCTTACCATCTGGCCTTTCTAATTCGGGTAAAACTTGTTGCTGGCAAAACTGAGTTATATTAACAAGTTGACTAGTTTGAGTTACTCCATGCTTTTGTGTTGATCCTCTGCTTGCGAGAGAAGTAACTAAATACAGAGCGGAATCTTTACTTCGCCAAAATTGTTTCGGATTTTCTGCATATTTTGTCAACATCACCTAAAAAGTTTGCATGAAATAAATAATGATTACAAAAATTAAGTGATACAATATAGTATAAAATGTCAAATGAAGTAAAAAACAATACGACCACAAATTATTGTGTATAAGTCTAAAGCTGTATAAAAATCTTAACAGATTAAAATAGTGAATGCATCAGAGGGAATCTTCATAATAATTCAAATTCAATTTTATTGCATCCATATTCTATTAACAATAAATAGATTGGATTAGTCCAATATTCTTTAAAATTATAATAGGCTTTTCCACCGGAAGGTTCTTCATTGCTTTTTTAGATTCAATAAGGGATTCTATGTTCTTAATGTCGACAGATAAGTGATGAATCCTAAAGCTATTGTGAATACATGAGTTTTTATCAAAAATTGTAGGAGAAATTTTGGCAAGTATTGTAATATGTTTGATGGAAGCCAAACGTGTTTAAATGTTTCTTTATAATCAATACCATTTCTAAGATACATAATGATTCTGCAGTTGATATTTTATAGGATTTAAATAGTGGCTTATATAGCTTGTTATATTTAGCTTTACACATATATCTTGAAGCTCTTTTCTACAATTTGAATATGTTTCAAATACAGAGTGATACACCATTTCAACTGTAGAATACCCTAATTCTATCGATTTCATCTTTACTACATTCACCATGGAGTGAATGTTCATCGAATTTGAGTTTATGATTCCTAAAGAATTTACACGGGTTTTATTTTCTATTATTTACAAATTAATTGTCAAATTTTGTATGCCAATTTTTTTTTCAGTATAGCTGAATACTTTTCTCGTATCTTCCTCAGCACACTTTTAAAATCTTCCAGGACTGTTCCAGAAGATAGTTTTATCATCAGCATATAATGTAAAACTACTCAATGTATCATTAATTAATGATCATTAAGATAGATTAAGAAAAGAACTGGATCCGGAACCGAGCCTTGTAGAACGACACATATGAGTTTTTTTACACTTGAATTTTCATTAGCTTTTACTATTTCACTACGATTCAATAGGTATGATTCTATGCATCGATAAGAGCGTCCTCTGAATCCACACAATCAAATGCTTTAATTAGATCACATCATCAATTTCAGTATTTATGTCATGTAAATGATTAAATACAGCATCGGTAGCGTTTTTTATATTTAGAAATAATGTTTTTTTTCAGTTTTCCAATTTTTTTTATTATTTTTGGTATAGTTGGAATGAAAACTGTTGGTCGATAGTTTGAGCGTTCTTCATGGTCACCTCCTTTATGTAGTGGAATTATAATTGATGAACTAATATCAACAATGCTTCATCTGGTAGGTTCTCAATGATTCGTATAGAGATTTCATCAATTTCAGAAGATTTATTTTTTTATACCAGAAAACTTGTTTTAGTTCTGTCAGGTCAGTGACATATAAAACGAAAGTTTCACTGATTCTTCTAGATTTAAGAAGAGACCTGGTGAGATCCTCACCAGGTCTGAAGTTATAACTGAGATTTTCTGCAATTGAACAAAATGACTGATTTATAACCCATATTTGGTAAAACTAAATCCTATTCAAAAGCCCCACAGTAAAAAGTGCTTGACAAAATCTCTGGTAAATGCGCCACATTCAATTAAGTCTCGCCTTCTATCCTTACACATATAATTTACTCATATTTTGAAACAAACTTTCTTCAGCATTGGAAGACATCAGCTGTCAAACCTATACCTATGAAGCCCTCGACAAGAGTAAATAGTCTTGGTGATCTTCGTCCGAAAAGTACCACAGACAGGCGACTTTCAAGTTCCTTGACAAACAAGAAATAGTATACCTTACCCTATTGGATATGTTACCAGCTTTTGATACTGTTGATCCAGATTGCCTGATAGCTAAACTCTGGCACTATTAATTCATCAGTCAACTGGCTCAGAGGTTAACTCTTCAAATGATTACAATTTGTCCTAATGATCATCTACAGAACTTACTAGAGACACCCAAATTCTCGAAAATGGCGTACCTCAGAGTTCGGTACTCGCTCCCACTCTTGTTTCTATATTCAGATCTGACTTGTAGCACTTAGTGGAACATTGTAATCTGCATTTCAGGTGAATACTCTCTCTATCTGAACTCCCACCATTATCAAAAATTTATTCGCTGACAATAAGTCGGCTGAGAAAAACCCCAAAACCCTTCTTGATGAATTTTCTGTATTTAACGACAACGAACCTATTCCTTCTGTTTCTGAGACTAATGCCTTGCTGTTATTTCTGACCAACAGTTAAAATTCTCCAAATAATCATGTGCAATTGCAAAAAAAATCTATCTTTCCTTTAACCCATTAACCGTCAAAGGTGCGTCAACGCAACTTTTCTATACCCTTTTTTTTGTGATTTGGATCAATATTATTTATGTTTATTCTGATGTCTATATTTTTTTTTCATTCGATTATTTTAACCATTTTTGGCCAAAGGTGCGCTTACTCACCCACTTTAATGAAGAATTGTTTTTTTTTTTGTTTATTCTAAACGTGCCACAATAAATATTTTTTCTAAATTACAAATTTCTAATGTCTTGGCCGTTAATGGGTTAAAAAACTAATTCCTTTTAAAAAGGTCTGTAGAAAATGCCTAATCAACGAATTTACTTCAAAGCAGCAGTCCCTCTCAAGCAAATGTCACCTTGTTCATCAGGGAACTGCAACTCTTTTGAAATTGAAAGATACACACTTTGTTTACTTCAATGTAATGGTCATTTGTTTTTGTATATTTTGACACAATAAATTATGTTATTCCGATTATACTCACGTGTAAATATTGACCAAAAATCTCAATAATTCTCTTTTCAAAATTCTGACTGAGAGTATTTACTAGGTCACAGACAGCTCTTCTTCTTGTGTCAACATCTGACCCTTCAATATCTCTACGAGTATATTCCTCAGGATTGTCTTCAAACAATTCTTCGTCAGATACTGAAAAAAAATCTGTTCAAAATCTGTTTTTCCTTTAATCAGCTGTATTGTTGATTCTATTCTTTCAAAAATGTATCATTTTGATACAGGCTATAACGACAAACGTATCCACGAATTGAACTGTCATATAAACATGACTGTAGTACAATTCAATAATAGTAGGTACTAACGTCTCAGAAATATCGATTGTAGCCGTTGCTACGTTGTAGGAGATCATTATGAAAAATAAAAGTGTCTATGTTTTTTACCAACTTTATTCGTAACTAATTTTGTTACTGCAGTTTCGTCCTATAAGGACATGTCTTTATAGGACGAAACTGCAGTACCAACATTAGTTACGAATAAAAGTGGTGAAAAAACATTAAAAGTTTTATTTCTCATTTTTTATAATTGCAATATTACTGTAATTGTTTGAAAATGTCCTTAAGGACGAAACTGCAGTAACATTAGTAACAAATAAAAGTGATAAAACACATAAAAACATAGAAAGTTTAATTTCTCATCTGTCATCTCAGAAATATTATTTGTTAAATATGGAATAATGCCACTACCGTGTTTGTTCATATACTATTCTATGATTGATATTCACAAACACAAAAGCAATTTTACACTAATGTCAAAGTCCCATACTTGCAAAACCCGTTCATCTAATCTCATGAAAACACAGTCTTTTCGACTTACAAAATCAAAAAACAACTGCCCTCCCCTAGGGCTTTACAATAAAATACCGGAGAGAATAAGGCAGCTCCCACTACAGAATTTCAAAACAAAAAACTAAAATGTTACCTTCTTAAAAATTGTTTCTACTCTGTGGAAGAATTTGCCTCTTCTCACATGGACATATAGAACACTGTACGTTGATATACAGGACCCACTTATTGAAATTATATATATGAAGAATTTTTCTCTATTTTAAATATTGCCTTCGGCAATACTGCACGTCTGTATGTGCGTTTAGGTAATTTGTATTTTATTTATACAGTGTGTAACAACGAAAACTTAACAGAGCCGTTTTTGTTCAATAAAATCCCTTTTTTAAAATCAATACCCACTGCTCTTCTTCCAGTTTTCATTAGTACATCGTTCGATTGTTTTGTTTAAACGGGTCGTGTATTGTTATTTGTTTAAAAATGCCTTACACTACTGCTGAAAGGATTTCAGTTATTGCTTTATTTTTTGGCAACGACCAAAATGCTAATAGAACATCAATTTTTCTATATGTATGATTCATTAATATAATTCATATTATAAAGGAAGTTATAATATAAACTGACACAGTCTTCCTAGTTTCTACATTGTATAATGAATGACATGACTTGCTACAAATGTTTTTTTTTACATAACATAGTCAAATAAAATCTATCTATCTATCTATCTATCTAAGGCAAAAACGTCAGTTATTTCTGAGAATTTAGTGTCTAATATTCAAAAAAGTTAACTGGTTATGCAAATAATAATAACATCAATATACAGTAGAACCCCGTTTATCCGAGTCACATTTGTATGTGTTTGTACTTGTAGGGTATTTCAATTTAAAATCGAAAGTCAATGAATACTGACGAATTTGAAAAAGTTAACGAAGCACTATTCATTTGGTTTAACCAACAAAGATCAAAAGGTGTGCCTTTGTCAGGTCCAATTTTAAAACAGAAGGCAATATTGTTTAGCAGGCAATTCCCAGCAGACTAGTTTATAGCCAGTTCTGGATGGCTTGACCACTGGAAAAAACCGTATGGTGTACAATAACTAACTGTATGTGGAGAGAAACTTTCCGCTGATATATCGTCAATTGACAAATTTAAGCAAGACTTAAAAAAGGAAATCGAAGATAGTGGATACTCCATATGATCAAATTTATAACTGCGATGAAAGTGTTCTGAATTATAAAATGCTTGCTTCAAAAACCTTGGCGTCTCAACACGAAAGATCAGCTCCTGGACATAGGAAGAGTAAGGAAAGATTAATCATAATGGCATGTTCCAATGCATCTAGTAAGCACACACTCCCCCTGATGGTGATTGGAAAGTCTGCACGTCCTAGGACTTTAAAGGATATTTCACCCAAAGCCTTACCAGTGTACTACAAGAATCAGAACAGCACGTGGATGGATGCGAATTTATTTACTACCTGGTTTAAAGAAGAGTTTGTGCCTTCTGTGACTAAGTTTTTGAAAAGAAACCGCCTTCCTATCAAAGCAGTCTTGTTAATGGATAATGACCCATCTCAGCCTGGAGAAGAACTTCGAGTGGGCGAAATTATTGTTAAGTTTTTTCCTCCGAATGTAACCAGCATAATGCCACCAATGGATCAGGCGTCCTCGAAAACATCAAAAATTATAGGCGTTTGTTCCTTGAACATTTGTTAGCATACACAGAACAAGAAGATAGAATTATCGATGGATTGAGAAAGATTACACTAAAAAATGTTATATACTGGGTGAGTCAAGCTTGGGATTCTGTATGTGCTTCCACTATTCAAAAATCTTGGTCAAAAGTTATTAAGTCTGAGGACGCTTATGGCACTGAAGAAGATATTCCATTGAATGATTTGGCTTCTAAATTGAAAAGCCGTGAAGATCCCGGTTCTGTCAATGAGACAGAGAAAATCAAGGAAGAAGAAAAAAGTTTGTTTGAGGTAATGCGAGCATTAGAGGGTTGCAAGATTGTGACAAGACAAGATGTTGTTGAATTTATTACAGCAGATAACATAGAAGAAGGACTAAGTATCGAAGGAATAACGGATGCCTTGCAGGAAACCGGAGAAGTCAATGACGATGATGAAGTAGTAGATGAAGAGCCTACCAATAAGATATCCCATCAAGAAGGTTTTGCTGCTTTAGAGAAGGCTTCAATTTATATTGAGCAGCAATCAGAGGCAACTCCTTCTTAATAGATGGTGGAACATTGCAGCAAGAAAAAGACAATGCAATATGAAACAGAAGTGAATAGATAGTAATTTTACTGTTTTGCAATGTACTTATCTACATTCCACATATTTCTGTAAAATAAAAGGCAACCTAGAAACTAAATGCTGAATAAAACAATTATAACTAACACCATCACTTAAAACTAACAAACATACAAGGCATAATACTAAATACATAATTGACTGCAGACTTCCTGAAGACATCCAAAGGTTGCGTAAAAAATAAAGTTCTGATGCATTAGCAAAGATTCTTGACATTCGACTTTCAAATCCATAATTGACAGAATATGATTTCTCAACGAAAACCGATCTATCATCCCTTTTCTTGACTCTCAGGTCAACCAAAGAGAGAAGTTCTAGGCAATTAATTTGGCCTGACAATAATTTAAATAGAAATTTCAGGTCAGCCTGAATCCAATGTGGTCAGATGTAGTGTAGAAAGAATATCGGTGTAGTTATGGTGCTAGTCCATTTGAATGCCCATTTTGTAGGCAGCACTATGCAAAAATTTATCTTGGACCTTTTCCAGTGACTTTTTGGACACTAAGTAAGAGTCACACTACATAATGGATGCATATTCTAAATGTGACCAAATTAATGAATGATACAGAATTTCCAATGTGCTTGCCAATACGTCTTCAGTGATCCTACCTACAAATCCAAGAAGTTTAAGAGATTTCAAAGTTATTTCATTAATAGGGAACGAGAATAACAACTTTTTATTAAATATAACACCAATATACCTAAAATATACTATGGTCAGTATTGTAATTTTTTTTTTTGTAAATACTTTCGTGCAGTATGAAATGTAACATCTGGCCATTCTTCCGATGAAAAAGATAACATCATGTCATTTATTTTTTTCTTTTTGGAGTAAATTGTAATAATTATGTAAACAAAAAAAAACAAATCTTTTGAACATTCCATGGCAAAGCATGAAGGGACTTCCGATATCTCTGCAGAAGATTTCATTTTTTTTCTATACTAAAAGAAATTTTTTTGAGGACAAAACACAAGCACTACAGGAAAATCCTCAAGGCTCTCTCAGAGCGGTGCCTGTGCGAAAGTAGCAATTCACATTGGATTTGAATTGCTGGAGATTAAATCCATTTGAAAGAACGTTCTCAGGAAGTTTATTCCACATAAACGCAGTTCTGCAGATGAAAGCGTTCTTCAACAGTGAAGTTCAAGGCGTACTGAGTTGAACCTCAAAACGATGAGCAGCCACAATCCGTCGCGTATTTCTGATATGTACCACTCTTGATGGAATCAAATATGCCAATTAACTTGAACACATCCCGTGAAAGTATCTAAAGAAAAGAGACAAATCTCCAACTTTTTTTCGATGTTCCTGACTATCAAGTTTGTAAGCTCCATACATGACAACAATACTCCAAAGAAGGTCTGATCTGAGCTTTATAAAGCATCAAAAGTGCTGGAGTGCTGGTTCGGAACAGTGTTCCAAGCTTTTGAGAAGCAGCCTTTGTAATTCCAGCGACATGATTGTGCCAAGACATATTGGTATCCATTTTAATAAAAGAACTACACTGGATAATGTGCAACTCTTCTTCAATTTCACTCACAGAAAGGATCGCTCCTACTCCTAAAGGAGTCATCATCCAACAAAAAATGCAAATACATGTTTGACCAATATCCAGTGTTATGACTTTTTGATAAAATCACGTATAGAATCGTCAACCAAGATCTTTTCTTGATACAATGCTGAAAATTCAGAATATTCCATTGTTATTTTTAGTAATTTACTATTTATTCTGGTTGTCCAAAGACCATTCGAGCCTTTTCATATTTACTCATCAAAGAAACGACTCTTAATTAATGTGGAGTCTTAAACATCGAATAATATCTGAACGATTTATTGAGTAATGAAGATAAATAAATTCCAACCGGTAGAAGAAGATTCATCGACGTAATAAAATTTGCCGAAATGAAACAGGTTTGAGTAAAGTGCAAGGTTGATGTTCAAAAGAGACAATTATTCAAGTTTATCTGAACGGTTATGCAGATATGGTTAACAGGACGGGTGAATCCGTCAGAACAAATTAATCGGAGATATATTTTGGATGTCTCGGCCTCGTTCTTTAGTATCCTTAAAGTTGGCTGGTATGACATCGCAATTTTTCATCGCAATATTGCCATCTCTGATGGTTTATTCAGATGAGATCGAAGTCTTCATTTAAACCAAACAAGACAACAATGAAGCAGCCTGATGAAAAATAATTCAAAAAATCTGTTGAACAAAGAACTATTTTCAGTTGACATTCTTATAGAAAA